TGAAGTTACAATTGAAGAAAAACATCCACGAAGAATAATATCGCCACTACCAAATGATGTTGTACAAAGAATCTGATTATGATAGTATTCCATATTTCTTCACGGAAATTGCCAACTGTTACACTAAATGAAAAGTGGCTTTCATCAGAACAGTGAACTCTGCCTAGAACTTATATTCCATGTCTGGTGATTACGCGCCCTTGCGTTCCTGCTTGTTTGTACCTGTCAGTCAACAGAGGACGTTTTAGTTGTAGGACAGATTGAAGTCACATATTTATAAATGTTACTACGGCTTAACGACATCAAAGATATTCAAATGTTCCTTTAGCTTGTTCGCAGTAGCATACACAGAAGTCTATCTAACTGAAATCTTTCGAGGTCGGCCAGACCTGAGACGCTCGTTAATATGTCGAGCTTGGTTCAGACGCTGCATTAACCGTGTAAGCTAACCATCTGTCAGTATTTGCCAATTTTAAACGTGTCATTCCTAAACACTGTGCGAGAATGTATATGATTTACCAGTGATACATGTGCTTATGCTGCTTTAGGTGGCAAAGCCAACTTGTGTTTTGTTATAGTACAGGGTACCCCAGTTTCAACCGAGATATCGTTAAGTTTGGCGTATCGCTTTGTGACACACGGCACCCAATACAAAGGGAGACACTGCAAGCAGTACAACAATGTTAATTTTTTATTAAATAAAAAATCAGTTTTGATTTAAACTTTCATACTGAAATAAATTGTCCCAAAGTGTATATTATCTCAAGGCTTCAAACTTGAATTCAAGGTTATTTTTGGAGTGCATTTTGTGAAAAAAAAATATGCGTCATTCAACCCACACATAATATGAAAATTCTTTTGAAACTCAGCACTCACCGTCCACCTTGTTTTGTATTGATCTGAATTGTTTCGTGCCATCCGTAAATAAGTACATTTATGACTGTGCGTCTCTTGGGAGTGCGTTGTCACGGACTAGAAACGTCAATGGTTACATCAGGAGGCATTGTGAGATGCTAGATATTACCATATTGTCCCTTCAGAGTCTGCACAAGGTTTTTGTTTGTTATCAACCTTTCATGAATGTCAATTTCAAAGAGGTTATTTGATTGGAGAAGATAAAGGAATATAGTTTGTTAATGGGCTTTTATCAGGAAGTATATCAGAAAGTTTTTTGAAAATCCACATAAAGTTTACAACATGTTCGTGATCCAAAGCTTCTGTCCATCAAAACAAGATTTTAAGAGTTGTAAACACGTTTATCTTCTACTTCGCTAGATGGCGAAAGCATTTCATTTAATTTTTTTAAGTGAGGGAGAATGTTCTCCTACAGAGTGTGTTGTGACATTTCTGTTCTCGCTATAACGTGCATTTCCGCAATAGCAAGGGAAAATAATTTGTAAAAGAAGATACGATATTTTTCTAGATAGTTTCAATGTTCTTTATATTGCTTTCATTTAGGAACGTGATCTTTCTTATATTAACCAAGATTTAGATCGCAGGTGTAATCAATGCAGCACTGAAACACCTTGTCCCATTAATCGTTTTCGTTTTTTGGTGTCCCCGTGTATTTTTTCTTCGTTATTTTTCATACACAATTTTAATATCAAATACCAGATCAGTATAGGTAGTAAGAAAAGAGGACTGAATAAGCAAACTCAATCGTCCACAATAACATCTTAATATTCTGATGACTGTATAATCCGAACTGATAAAACCAGGGGAGTGCGGAAACCAACAAGCTATATAGCTGATAAAGTTAAGAGTGACTGTCGTTTCTATAGGATAACGTGACAAATCTCATTTATTTGACTGCAAATGAATTGACATATGGTGAAATTTCAGAAAACCCAATGGTAGAGATGGTAAGATATTCAACCTGTATTTATCATATCAAATTCGGCATGTTCAATCATTTGATGACAGAACTCTTCAGACAAATGGTTGGCACTCACATGCTATTCGGTTGTAATTCAGTAATGTAGCAGATGTATTTTGTATATATAATTATTTATTGCCATATTACGTGTGAATACCAAAAAGAGAAAGACGACCTGTTTGAATAAATTCAATTTATTACAGGTTATAAATTGAATTACAGGAGTAGGCCACATTGTCTTATTTCCACGTCCAAAACCTTGTTTCGTTCATCGTGAAATAAACCATGCAGTAAGGAGATATTTTTCTTCATCTTATCATTACTTTTTACATACACTCACATAAAACATTTACTATAAAATCGATACTTTTATCCTAGTCTGCTTCAAAATAAACAACTTAAAACAATGCGTATCAAGATTGTTTTCCGAAATATTTTGATACAATTTTGCCCTTTCGTTCATCGGTATCTTTGTGGCAAAAACTGCAAAGACTGCGAAGGTTAGCAAAGAGCAGAAAAACAACGATACGCAATCCAATCTATTTCCCAATTCTTCTGTAACAGATTGTTATGATGTTCTAAAAACATTCAGGCAATTGTTCTAAGTAGATTTTTGTTGTTCAAATCAATTGTATTTATACATCCAAACCAATTTGTGTTATATCAGAAACACGTGATCCAACACCATGTATTCTGGAGAATACAGCTGGAGAAAGTGGAGTGAAAACCATTGGAGATTGCACTGAGGATAGGAAAACTTGAAAGCAAACACTGAAATGAACGTAATCTTAACCACAATCAGCAGTGCCGTGAACATCATTTCAGTTTAATGTGTTTTTTTCTTATCAGGTTCCGGCCATGACAATCGTAATGTCCAAAGGGACAAAGAACAATGTAAAATGTGGACATAACAAAAATGAAAAACCGACATATCACCTGAATCTTCAAAATCAAATTTCAAGAAACGATGACAAAATTTGAGCAGAAGATCATGGTTTACGAGGAGACCCCTAAGAAAGTTCAAGGGAAACAAGACCAGGAAACTTAAACGTCTTCTGTGTCATAAACCATTCCTGCCAAGCAAACCCGAGTCATTTCAAATAATCAATGCCAAGATCCAAAATGAGAACAAGGTAATGACAACAGAACCATAAGACCTAACGGGCAACGAGCAATTCAAGCTTCATTTCGCAAAAAGAAATGGAATATTTTCTCAGTGAGATCATTAACACGACCGTAAAACTTTCCCATTGTCTCCATCTCTAAAAACCTGTATTGTAAGTTGTCACTTATCTGCTTGTGGTCGCTATCTTCACGAAAATCGTGGTATCGGGACCAAGTCCTAGAATATCGACTCATCTGTGACATTATATAACCATCGGTTAGGGATACAGAGATGTTGCTATCCAGAAATGGAATTGAGGAAATGAAGTCGTCACGCTTATCAGAAAGCTTGGAGGAAAGCTGGCCATGTTTGTTTCATTGTAGAAAAGGTCATGGTAAGAGACTGATGTAAAAGAGTTTGTTGTATCCTTAATGTTCAATTCTGGGGGGAATATACGATGGTCTTGATAAATTTCTTGTTATTAAAAGACAAGATATCAATATGTGAATAATTGAAGCCTTCGCAATGTTCTTGTGATAATTTTTAATTTTTGGTTTAATTTTAATTTGTGATAAATTTAGCCTCGAATGAAAACAAAAATAGTTTTGCCAAAAGAGAGGCACAATTTTAGGTACGCTTATACAACCAAACTGGACCAAGATGTCAACCAGTAATTTGATTTTTTTTTTTTAATTTCTTCTTCCGTATATTATTTTCTTGATTTGGACTTTTACCCCACGAAATACGCTTCAGTATAACTCACAAACATAAATTTGTACAACAGTTCACAAGATAACGAATGTGTTCCTTCAGGTAAGAATTGGATATGACTGCGAACAGTCACAAAGACAATATTCACAACGGAATCAAGATTTCGAAGTGCAAGATATCCTGACCGCACAAGGTTGAATTATATTTCTCACTGAGATCTTGATAGCGACCACGAAACTAGTTGCTAAACCACTTAAAGACTACACAAAAGTGGAGACGACTGTATTCAGGTAAGACATTGACGACGAAACAGTATAAAAGGCGTGAGTGTTGACGAAGACTCAGACAACCTACTGAATGAACTCGACAAACTCCAGACCATAAATTCGATGTATTGATTATATCCTCATGATGTATTGGTGCGCATTAACAGTTCACGGATTTCACTGTTACGGCGGCTGTTACAATGAATGTGTTTGCAACATGACCATTACATGGAATGACATTTACGTACAGCTTTTACTCAACTGAATGTTGAAAAAGCAATTTCCTAAAGATTAAAGAGACAGGCAGAATGCTAAAATATCGTATTACACCAAATATGTAGATTTTATTGTGGCCTTACGCTTGATATTTGATATGTTCTACATTCAGTGCCTACTTCAAATGTTAATATTAAATTATCATTATATTATTTCAATATATCTTAAATATGTTCTGTATAGTTAGATATCTGACAAATCATAGACCAAACTTAAAATTCTTATGACGTTTAAGAACGGGATTCAGTAATTTGCTTTATAACTGAATCATATGCGTTAGATATTATCAAAAACTACCAATGAAATATTCGAAAACTCGAAAAATTGAACTAAGATAACTTTTTTTCCTGCAACATTCTTTAAGTTACACCCTCATCTCCCTAGCTGTAGAGGTAATGTAATCGGTCTATTTTCCTTCAATAAAAGCATAACCTTACACACTTAATGCCCCAGTAAACACACGTTTCCCAGTACTCATTTGTTTGATGAAGGTGGTAGCACAGTCACAAATAAATTTTATTACTGGCTGTGACATGATAACAACAACTCTTTTCATATAAATTACTCACTCGACACAAATTCACATGAATTTAAGAGAAAAAAATAGTTTTTACGATACAGCTCATAAGTTCACTTTTGTGGTCATTCCGACAGAAGTGAAACAATAGGTGTCTTGGGCGATATTTTTGCGATACAGGCACATTTGTAAGAAATATTTGACATAGTATTTCTAAAAACATACTAAGCCATAGGTTACAGTATTTACCTGTACTACAAGGGTAGGAACGGCCAGGATGGAACCAAACACCCAGATTGCTATCACTGTCTTCTTGGCCAGTTTCATGGTGCACACACATTTTGCCTTCATCGGGTGTATGATAGCGTAATATCTAAAAACATAAAACATTCATCAATAAGTTAATGACATAAGAAAAGCACGCTGGATTTAACAAAAGCATTTCTGAAAACATGTCTGATATATATCGTCAAATATGACGAGGGTGAAATATGAAGCAATGAAGAAGGTAAGAATGACCAGACATGCAAGAAGTCAATTAACATCTTGAGAAGCATCAAGACAATATCAACAAGTCAACAATGTCTTTATTCAAAATACATATGAAACGCGGGCAAGATTCGAAAAAAAAGAACAATGCAAGTAAGATCAAGTGTTCTAGGAGAAATCGTCGCCGCTAAATCTTGGATTATCTATATACATAATGCTACATTTTTAAATGAGACCATGGCGACGATTGTACCACATTCCCACAGTTTTAATCAATCTCGAAACTGTGTGTTGAAAGTTTTTTTGTTGTTATTGTTCTTCTTTGGTCTTTGAATATTGGGATATTGAGAACTTGGTTGAAATTAAGGGGTTGTTGTTGTTGTTGTTGTTATATTTCTATTGGAAACATTCAGTCCTCGTATGCGATTCATTCTTGTATGTTAAAACTGTTGTATAATTCAAATAATTCAGTCAAGCGAGTGGGTGTTGATGTAGATTTTATCTTTATTTGATGAAACAAAATAGTTTAATCTGTGGTTATGGGAGTATAGAACATTGTATTCTTCCTGTTAGTAAGAATTCATACCTTTTCATTTGTTAAAAACTGTTGCAGGTGTGTATCAATAAAAATTCTAATCCGGTGTTAAAAATTATTACATTACATAGCTCGATTCGGTATGTGATAAAAGTGCATTAACGAACTTCGTCAGAAAAGTGTATGTAAAGCACAGTGAGCTCTAGACTGTCAATAAATCAGGCAGACCATTCCTGTTGGGATTGGTTTTGACGCCTATTGTCCGCTACTATGGCAAATCCTACTAACAAACCTTTATCTCCAGACTATTCATTCGACAAAACAGACATGAAAAAGCGGCCCAAAGTATTGTCGTTTTTCGCATCAACATTGATAATACATCATACATGTTAATATGTAAATGTCACACTTGTAACTTGATATATTTTCAAACGTGTGCTTAAAGGAAACTTGAAAATGTTGCAATAACATCTTATTTCGAAAAGACACAAAATTGATTGGAATTTTCTACCTTTAAAAATTCGTCAAGCTAACGATGCCATGCTAAGTTCTCTCCTACTGAGGTAAGCTCATTGCTATTAGGCGTTGTTTTATTCGTCAGTCCATAGACATTAGACGTTAAGTTCATTCCAAACAGGAACTATAGGGATAGGGTTGCAATTTTCATGAGGCGGGTTATATAACGCGTATAGAATAACATAAAAGATCGCAAGAGAGACTTATATAGTCGTATATCTTTAAGCAGGGACTAAGACTGAAGAAATCTGGAACCATCCATAATAACGACATATTCTCGGAAATTATTTAATTAAAGATTTCTTAACACATTTTCTCACGAAATCTCGCCACGTTGAAATAATTCCATCAGTTAGTGTAATTCTATCCAGATCAGTGCGACATCCCATCTGATATATTCCCCAAAAAACGGAAGCTATTATTTTAAGAATGCTTGCAATTTATACCTCTTTTATGCATCATTCAAGATACAGCGTCTTAAAGTCGATCAATTTCGATCTTGCACTCCATTTCATAGATAAAAATCACTGATACCATACAATTTGGCTTTAACCTTGACGTAGATTTGCTTAAAAGATAAAACTTTACGGGGATGAAGAAATCGATGTTTCTCTTAAAATTTCGAAAACATTTGAAAGAAAGAGGATCGTGAAGTGCCTGTAGAGAAGATTTTCTCCATTTGATCTCTCTAGTCACTGTTTTGGTCTTTGCATAATGAATGACAACTAACATCTATGTCCTTGATTTGACATAGCACATCAAAACAGCACCTAAGTATAGTCTATAACACGTGTACATTGTCATCGTGATAAACATAATATAGTGGAAGATGTTATATTTTATTATAGTATATCAACCAGTGATTTTAATGTCCTATCTTCACTTTCTCTTTACAACTAGTGATCTCAATGTCCTATCTTCACTTTCTATCTACAACTAGTGGTCTTAATGTCCTATCTTTACTTTCTCTTTACAACTAGTGATCTTAATGTCCTTTCTTCATTTTCTCTTTACAACTAGTGGTCTTAATGTCCTTTCTTCACTTTCTCTTTACAACTAGTGATCTTAATGTCCTATCTTCACTTTCTATCTACAACTAGTGATTTTAATGTCCTTTCTTCACTTTCTCTTTACAACTAGTGATCTTAATGTCCTATCGTAATTTTCTATCTTCAACTAGTGGCCTCAATGTCCTTTCTTTACTTTCTCTTTACAACTAGTGATCTTAATGTCCTATCGTCATTTTCTATCTACAACTAGTGATCTTAATGTCCTATCATAATTTTCTATCTACAACTAGTGATCTTAATGTCCTATCGTCATTTTCTATCTACAACTAGTGATCTTAATGTCCTATCATAATTTTCTATCTACAACTAGTGATCTTAATGTCCTATCGTAATTTTCTATCTTCAACTAGTGAACTTGATGTCATATATCACTTTCTCTTTACAACTAGTGAGCTTAATGTTCTATCTTTATTTTCTCTTTACCGGATTTTCCCCAAAATAACTAACATATTTATGATTTTGTAACAGGTAATATAATTTCATTTTCTTCCACATACCTTCTTTCATGTCCATATAGTTTCTAAAGAAATACATCAACAAAATTCGTTAAATCAATGTTAAAACACTACTTATCTATTGATGAATAGATGCACAATGAATTATAGACATTCAATGTTTATTCATAAATTTTACACACTTTGTTTTCCTCAAATTTTGAACAATACCATATTTGTAAAAATGCATATTTTACATATAAAATGTATTTCTCTCCATTTAGAGTGCTTTTCTCAATAATTATAAAAACTTTTGATTCTCAAGTGTCATCCAGTTATAACTATGACAAATCGTTACATGAATTTGGAAGCATGTCTTTTTTAGAATAATTTCTTAGATATCAATGTTGATTGCATTCATGCCGGATATCCCTAGAGCCATGCAGAATTCCCTTCAACATTGTTGAGTCAGCAATAATTTGCAATTTAGAATTGTCCGATGTACGTAGTTAAGTGGATCAAGTCAGACAACCATCTATTACTCTTATGAACAATGAATTCCATTACATGAAAATTTGAGTTTGTCAATGTTATCATTACATTGAATGACCTAACAATTATATCACAATGCATTTCGAATGAATATGGATGAGACATTCTGAGAAAAATCCAGCAAACTGGATGTTCCTTTCAAACATTTTGAGATATTGTCAAAATTGAAATATATTCAGTGAGTTTGTCTTTCCGTTGAAAAAATGCACCGAAATTTCTACAACAACAGCTGGGTTTTATTCAAAGTCCAAGGCATCAATTTATCATTCCAACTGTTGTATAAACATAAATGTTATACCAAACGAGGTATAACATTTTCATATATTATGATTGGCTGATAGAATGAGCTCAAATCAAAAGGGCGCTTTATACACTCATGTAAGTAAAAACCCCTAAGCAGTTCAAGATTTATTTGTAATAATTTTATTTTTATTTTGGAATTATATCCCTTTTGTCTGTTTTGTTTGATAATTAACGGCACTTCACTAAATGTCAAATCATTACGTCCGAAGTGATAAATTAAGCAACACACACGTGAGTACATAACAAGAGAACTGAAAGCTAAAAACGTTTTTTTAAATTATGGTAGAAATATGTCTCACAAACTCGTGGTTGTTACACATAGGTTTTCTTTCACTAATGTTTTTCTTTACCAATGTCTGATGTATATAAGTTGTAGTCCGAGGAAAAAATCGTACGTAATTAGATCAATTATAAATGAATAAAGTATGTGTAAATATTTGATACGTTACACTCTTTCACTTAATCAACCTTTGTTTGGTGATCGGGATGTACAGTGGTAATATAGTCGCCTTTGGTTTTGACATCAGGGTTCGGTTCCCCGAACGAACGTGAAAAGGTTCGTTGTCACCTGCCAGACCATGTGTATTTTCTCTGTGTACTCTGATTTCTTTTTACAGCAAGACCTTTTGCGGTATTCCATTCGGGTCAACAGAGTGATTTAGATTGAATTAACGGCGTTAATTATCAATTATTTTAAATAAATGTAGTTTAATAAACTAACCCTCTACATTAGTATTAAGTATAACTTTAAAAGGTACGATATATAGTAAGGCTGGCATCTGTTATGCAAATATGAAATTTAGGTTTCTTCCACTGTCACTTATCGTTTTAGACATTAAGTGAAGACATTTGCTTCGATGAAACATTTTTTACTTCAATTGTGTAGACTTATTCTACTCTCAACCAAATATATGTAATTGTACGCAGGTTTTGACATAAGTTCATTGGTGTACAATTCATAATGGCGAAATTTGATCGAAATATAAGGACAGGTTGTTAACACCAAGTAATGGGAAATTAATCCTAGAAGAAATCATGCTCCGCATACAGATTAGTGGAAAGCTTACCATGTCGGTTTGGTAGTTAGCAAAACTCAGAAAGATGCTGATGTAGAGTATTGGTTGCATCCTCAATGTTAAGTTCTGTAGATGATTCAAAAACATCATTGATTTGCCACAAAGCTACATCTAGGACCTTTTTTAAAGTCATTGTTATATACATTGATAAATTACTCTCGTATAAAACAAAAACAAGTCCTTCAAGAGAGGGGTACAATTCAAGATTATGCCAATAGTCTGCCAGGAAATCTTTCAGCAACGAAATTATCATTAACCGATTTGATATTCATTACGGTCTAGAAACAATAAATTATTAGATGTGGAGAGCCTTAGCACCCACAGCAGGTGATTCATCAACATCATCCTTGAAATTCTTCAAACTCACTTCTACAACATCAACTTACAAGACTGTGCGG